TGACAAAATATAATTAGTTGCTGTTGCGATAGGATTGGATTATAGCTGGTGTATCATTGATCGCTAAACCCGTTTGGAGCAAAATGTTTGACGGCCGGCGAAATGTTTAATGAACTTTGGCACGCATCGGGCGATCTTGGAGAACACTGCTCATATACCATGTATGTAGAGGCTATGCTTTGGGGTCCGACAAGTCAAACTTTCACCTGAATTTATGCTGCGGAAGCGGAGGCAACAACAAGCAGACGACACGCATATTTATCTCTTGGTCAAGAATTATGAAATATGGACCAAGCAACCGTTAGCCGCCTTTTCAGTCCAGTCAAGCGAAATGTATCCAAATATGGAGACGGGCGTGGGCCACAGTACACAGTACACAGTACGTTTCGTACATATTACTCGTGTGTATCCGCATAAGGCACACGCAGGTGGCCGAATTCGCACAGTTCTTACTATCTAAATGAGTTCGATATTTGTCACGCGTTGGTACTAAAGATTTCCTGCATAAACTGATAGATATACCCAGGCACCAGGCACCAGCCACTAGGCACCAGGCTACAGGCACTATCACTTGACTCGACTTACTTGTATGTCTCGGCCGTTACAGAACTAAACACAGTCTGAATTCCAATCTTGATTTGACTTTCAATTTAAGTATTTCCACATCGCACGATCGCCCTGAAGCCACAAAGCTTTCTTCCAAAGAGCGATAGAGAGCGAGACACTCTCTGGAGCTTTGCTAATGTTCTGTTCTGTGTTCTGAGTGGGCTTTATGGGTGGAACTCAACTCTGTGTTGCAGGCAGCTTTGCTCGAGTGGGTTGGTTGGGCAATCGTGATAGTGCAGGCGGCCCTGCTGATAGCAGAAGCGATTTGCTGATATATGTTTGGGAAACCTACCAAGGCAAGACCCGAGAGCGAAGCCACGTAACACGGCCACCCATCGGGTTAGGTTCGAAGTTCGAGCGGCTTTCCTATCGCAACTTTTGGCCAAAAGTACCGAATGTACTACAGAAACAGTACATGAAAGCTTCAATAAAAAGCCGCTAGCTGGGCCAACACTTGAAGATTACTGTTTTCATATCTCTGGTATCTTTATTGCTCGACTAGTTAGTTGCAGCAGTGGGAATTGGTAGCCGGTAACCGGTTTAGGCGTACTTGGGAGCATACTTCTCGTACACCTTGACGTAAGCATCCTTGGCGGCCTCCTTGGACAGACCCTTCTGCGAGTTCCAGGCCTCGTACATGGCCTTCTTCTTAAGATCCAGAACGCCGGGCTTCTCAATGTTCACATCGCCAACGGTGGCCTGCTTGAAGAGGCCGTAGAACTCCAGGAATTCGGCATCGGTGGGCTTCTTGGTGAACTTCTTGGCGAGTTCAGAGGCTTCTTCGAACTGTTTAAACATCGAGATCCATAACTGATCAACCGAATCTTGTAATATTTATCTATGATTTATTTACTTACGGACACCATGTTGTTAGTTCTGTGGTTTTGCTAGTAGTGCTGCAAGTAATTCAATCGGCGTTAGTATTTGGCTGTTGGGTCTATAAGGACTTGAGTGCTTACCACTTGAAATGGCGAAAGGCGAATGAGTACTTAGGGGCCTTACAGTCGAGCTTTTATAGGTTCAAATATTTCAATTGAAGCTCAAGTGAAATATAGACATATTTCGCTGATTAGCCCTGAGTTTACCTCACCCGACTCTGCCGACATCGATATCTTTATTTCGCCAATTTTGCTCCTAACATTATTGAAGGTAGCGATATGGAAGATAGCCCCCGGATACACTTATCATTTATAACACCAGCAAAGTCGCTGGCTGACCAAGTCTCTGAAACCAAGGGAACACTGTAGTTAGACACTCCCGCGAATTTTCGTCCCGCACTCTGAAGTTTTTACAATTGGCAATAAATAAATGACGTTAGTTGATATATATATACAAGCTGTAATCTGATGGATTATAAGATCTAAGAAATATATATTACTTGTCGTAAAAGCTGATGTACGTTTTGTAGGTCAGCGACGAAAGTCATTAACCCGTTTACAACTTTACAGCTTTATGTCTAAGAAGCAACCATTTTCGGCAAAGTTTGTTTTATCATAATATCCCTATTATCTTTATTCGAGCAATAATGGGGTTGATTAAAACCTTTAATTGGTCCCCCGGTCAATGTCTCAACAGCAGCTATGACACAAACCTGCAAGAAAGTTATTGAACTAATTTCCGATTGTGGCTAAACCGTTAAAGAATCTGCAGAAGAAGTGGCAGATTAAGATTAAAGATGTTCCTTTCTGCAGGACTCTTTTAGGGTATCGGTTAACCGCTTGCGGAATTACTAGGAAGATCCTAATTAGGGTTCTTACGAGATTCTATTGATCACAAAAACCTGTCTAGCAGGTTATTAACTCTTTTCCTACAAAATATGCATCCATTTGCTTTGCTTGACATGACATTACTTACATAACGGATAGTTCATTCTACGTCCTTTGAAACATATTTTTTATTAACAAAGATTTCAGTGTAGATAAAGAATATACATCGTGAAAATAAGCGCCGGAACAGCATGTAGTTTTCAGCTTTCGATTATTAGGTCATAAATGAATTCATTTTCTATTAGATTGGTTACTTAAAATAAAAACGAGGGGGAACGTTGTGAATTGCTGCGGACACCGCAACTCCCGCACAGCATTTATACCCGATACTTAGTCAGTATGGCTCTCCTCCGGCAGACGCCGCTACTATTAAACGACACGACAAAGAATGCGTGCGAGAGGGACAGAAAATCAGTCTGAGCGTGACGTCGGGCGCTGCGTAGCCACTGCAAATTGATTTCTTGCCTTTGGCTATACAAATTATCCGATCTGATCCTGATTCCGCAACCAGATAGATATGGTCATTCTCTATGATTGTGCGTCTTTAGTTTTCTCGAATCTACAATATTGTGGATGCAACAGATTTTCGTCCTTTGTGGGGGCGGAAGGGGGTGGGGCGAAATTTTGAAACAAACTCGTCTCGGTCCGATATCTTAGGAGTGTGGATACCAAATTTGGTTGCTCTAGCTTTTATAGTCTCTGAGATCTAGGCGCTAATGTTTTACTCTAACCAAAGCCGCCTATGCTACCTGTGTGTTAGAGAGAGACAGGGCGAGAAAAAATGAAATTGTTTTCTTGATGCTGGCTATAATAATAATACTATCCAATTCAGATTCTGCAGTCTAAAAGATATGGTCATTCTCTACGATTCTGCGTTTTTGGTTTTTTCATATCTGTAAAATTGTGGATGCCACAGATCTTCGTTCTTTGTAGGGGCGGAAGTGGGCGGGGCGAAGTTTTGAAATATTTTTGTAGCAGTGACATATCACAGAAAAGATCCAAAACATTGTTGCTCTAGCTCTTATAGTCTTTGAGCACTAGGCGCTGAAGGGGACGGACAGACGGACAGACAGACAGGGCTCAATCGACTCAGCTATTGATGCTGATCAAGAATATATATACTTTATGGGGTCGGAAACGATTCCTTCTGGACGTTACACACATCCACTTTTACCACAAATCTAATACACCCCAATACTCATTTTAAGTATCGGGTATATAAATGTTAAAGGCTAAGGACAAAACTGTCGTATGGAATTAATTCTGCTACTTGGCAACTACACAGAGGTGTTGCCGCGAATGGAATGCATTATACATGAACTCTACATGAAAATGAATTCTATACAAAAACTAATTCCAAACCAAAATTAATACTACACAAAAATGAATTCTACACAAAAACGAATTCTGTCCAAAGCCCCAAAAGTATAATTTATTTGCCAAAAGGTCGTTCCGAATGAATGTCTGGAGGTGGTGGATCGAAAGGGTATCATTTGATAACTATGTACATATGTTCACCGTGTGGAAGGCATTTGTTCCACTTCTCGTAATATTTCGTGGGAAACTTGTCGAATCGCCGAGTGAGCTATTACGTGGTAGACCTACCCTCTGGGTTAATTATGGTGTATATGTATATAACTGTGTTTTCGCTGTGGCGTACATTGTGGTTGCAGGGACAAGAAATGAGGATAACTAAATTGATTTATTGAGGTTAATACCGCGAGTTTGGAACTGATCTCCGACTATTACAATTTTCGAGAGCATGGGTTCGTTATCCCAAAGTTTTCTTCCCTTATAACCTTCTCCTTGCAAACACCAAGAAAAAAGCCGTATGATATACATATATATGTATGTATGTAGATTAATAAACTTTTTCTTTAGGCATTGATTTCTGCTTACTGATGATTAAAAGCCACGCGACGTATTCAAAAAACAATTTCATTATTATTCCATTTTGTAGGCGATTACATTCTTAGGATAATCTCATTGGAGGGTAGATTCTAAACATCCATTCAATGGTACTGTTGCACTTCCCTAACCTTTAGTTTGTAATGCGATTGATTGTGTTAAATTGATTACCATGAATCAGAAATGAGTAAGCAGTGACTAAAAGATGCATATATGTATGTACCTACATATATATCAGATATTGCTTTATATAGAAAAATTAATTATCAAGCAGTGGAATTTTTTTCTATATTTTACTAAATTTTCACGTTTTTGCCTTATATTCTAATTATTATTATATTTTGTACACCGCCTTTAGCTTTTATTTGGCAATTAATATGGCCATACCTTGAGGGTCCTAAAAAAAAGACTCTGGAATATGCATTAAAGGTATGTATTTGCTAATATCATTCTACCGAACCAAAATTGTTCATCCATAAGTAAATTGATTGTCGTTCCATGTGCATATAAAGAATCGCATGATAATCTTGGGAACCATCCGGTAATCTAAGATTTTTGATTTCCATATTCGCTGGACTTCTTCCTAGAACTTAAGCGAGAGTTTTACGATGGCCACCCACCTGATAAAGCATACCCATTATATGATAAGATTGGAGTTGGTCATATGATCGTATTTGGAGACGAAAGCGGAAAGTTACGGAATGATTCAAACACATTATCTATTTTAAATGCATGGGCGTTTGTTTGGTTTATTCCAAAATGACATTACAATAAATACATAACTCTTCAACAATGATTCAGATGCATCCAGTAGAAGGGGAAACTCAGTAGAAAAGGTCACAAAAAATAATAGGTCTACAGCTACGTATACAAAAATGCACAGCTTATTCGGATTGGGCAGCGTACTTCTTGTAAACCTCGATATAGTATGCCTTGGCATCGTCGATGGTCAGACCAGCCTTGCTCTTCCAGGCGTTGTAGCGAGCCTTCTTCTCCTCATCCTCGGGCTCCTCGATGTTGCAGTCGCCGACGGTGGCCTGCTTGTAGTAGCCATAGAACTCCAGGAAATCCGCCTTGGTTGGGGGGTTCTTCAGGGACTTGGCCTTCTCAACGATCTCCTCAAACTATTCAAAGGGAGAAGCATAAATTAAAATGCATTTCTATGGAAATGTAGGAAGACTTACGGTCAGCATGTTGTAAAATTGTTGTGGTTGTGGGAAACAAAAACAAACTGTGAGGATCGTCCCACGGACACTGTTATATATTGGCAAACATAGCTCATGCTTTTCGGTAATCTTATCGGAGTCCCAGCTGCAATAGTAGTTCCCACTTGGGCTTATCATAAAAGGCTCCCCATGTACGATTGTATTTTGGGGGTTGGCAAAGTGCGCTGAATTCCCGTCAAAGTATATAATTAGTCAGCTGCGGGGATTGGCTTATCAGAGTTGACAAGTATGCTCTTGCACTTGCCAAAAAAATTGAATCAGCTATGTATCAGGTATATGCATGCCCACAGGTATACGTTATCTGCTTGATTGATACGACTAGACGGCCCTAAGAGAGGGGCTGGGGTAACACTCACAAACTATAGCCAGAAATCGGGCTACTGCTCGTCACTATGGGTGAGACTTGTGAGTCAGGGGCTACCAATCAGGCCGAAGTCACTAATATTAGTGATAATAATTATAATGCGGCCAACATTGGAGATAGTACTATCGGCTTTTAAAGATTTCCAAAATATTAATTAAACGATTATAGGGGAGTCTTAGAAGATAGAAGATACACATTTGGCTAATGCCATATCCAAGTTAATTAAATTTCCTAATCCCAGTCGCTCGAAGGGAGCTATAAAAGTCAGATGTGAGGGGACTACAGTCATCATTTAGTATCACCAATAACCCAAGCAACATGGTCAGTTTTGAGGAAGCCGCCGAATTAGCCAAGAACTTCTCCAAGAAGCCTAGCGACTCTGAATTCCTGGAGTTCTACGGTCTTTTCAAGCAGGCCACCGTTGGCGATGTGAACATTGAGAAGCCCGGCCTTCTGGATCTCAAGAAGAAGGCCATGTACGAGTCCTGGAACTCGCAGAAGGGTCTGTCCAAGGAGGCTGCCAAGGAGGCTTACATCAAGGTCTACCAAAAGTACGCTCCCAAGTACGCCTAAACGCCACGTTTTGGGATTAATCTAACAGGATAAAATAAACTCGAAATCTTACCACAAAAATCAAAGACAGTTGACTTCCATTGTGCGCCCCTTAGAAGGCCGCCTCCGACTGGGGCATGGTCACGGCGGCTGCAATGAGGGGCTTGGCCTGGCCAGCCTTCATTAGCATGACGCGGATGAGGGAGTTGTCCAGGGTGAGGCTGGCGGGTGGGAGTTTGTCCAGAGGATCCAGCAAAGCCACCACTTCGAAGTCAACGCGCAAGGGGATGCCCGGCAAAACACTCGGCAGCCTGGCCAGGGTCTGTTGTATGGTGTAGTGGCGTCGATCCGCGTGGAGCAGAATCATCAGATTGGAGGCCATCTTGAACGTCGAAAGGTTCTGCACGGTGAGGTAGAGTCGAAAGGCAGGCCCACTGCCGCAAACCTCCGCCGAAAGCTTGACGGGAGCATGGGTCAGATCGCCGGATATCGTGCTCTCCGACGAGTTGATAGCGTCGATGGTGGCACGGGCTGCCGTGTGCCGCAGCCGCCAGAGCTCCACCTGAAAGCTGCCATAGGTTGCTGAGAGGAAGAGAAGTTGATGAAACGAGAGACAAGTTGCGAGCCACGCTCACCTTTCGCCTGCTGCTTCTCCCGGGCCGCCTGCTCCACAAATATGGAGCTCTTTTTGGGCTTATCCAATATCGTGGAGCCATCAGTGAGTTTTTGGTCACTAGCCCCCAACCGTCTGCCTGCCAAGGCCTCCGCTTTAGGCTCAAAGCGCGAAACGCGGCGCAATATCTTGACAATCATCTGGCCCGACTGCGTAACGAGAGTCAGCACGTGATCCTCCATGCCCATGCGCCCGTACAGCATGGCATCCACCGTCTCCTCCAGGACGAACTCGTCCACCTGATACCGCTGGAGAAAAAACTTGACGGCGCCTCCCTTCAGAGCAACGGCCACCAGAGTGATGCCCAGATGTGTCATGGTCAGTGGCAGGATGCAGACCGGCAAGGAGTCCAGCTGCACCTGGTAAAGCAGCTTGCCCCGCTTCGAGTAGCACTGGTAGCGGTTGTCCATGGTCGAGGCAAGTATCGTTTGATCAATGGGCAGCAGCAGCAGACCCGTCAGCGGTGTGCTCAGCTTGAAGATCTCCTGTCCCTCGCTGTTGGACTTTCGCAGCAGATAGACACCGCCATTCCGGGTAGCCACCACAATGCAAAAGTCCGTTTCATAGGTGCCCTGGACGGAGAGCAAGCTGGGAACAGCCGTCTGATAGCTGCAGGTCCGCCCCTGGTACACCAGGTTGAAGCCCTGGGGTTCCAGTATGAATATGTGGCCAGTGTCCGTGGCCAGCACTAGGTGGGAAGGGGGATTGGCATCGCTGGAGACGCGTTTTATGCAGCACATGATTACTATGCTGCCCACCCGCCCCACAGGCGAGTCCCTATGCGTGTTAATGAATGGCTGAGAGACAATTCGTGATGATATTGGTTGAGAAAATCGACGTCCAAATGGGGAAGACTCACAGCACGTTCGGCCTCAGTCAGTTGCAGCAGGCGCTGAGATTTCCTCGAGAGTTTGGCGTGGTCGATGCCCTTGAGCGACTCCAGCAGGGCGTCGTGGGTGTCGGCCTTAACGACGGGCAGCTTGCGCCAGACCTCCAGCTCCAGATCATCGGAATCAAGGGCGGGAATGGTGTACTTGAAATAGGGCTTCAGGTGTCGGTAGAACAGCACGGACTCGGCAATGGCCACAGCAATGACTGTGCCAGGGGATGAGGGGATGAGAACAGGCCCACCACTTTACGATGTTATGACATACGCACCCGGCGTCTTTGGTTCTGTTTCGTCGATGTAGAGGCTCTCAATGGCAGTCGGTATGCCCGGAAGTGGCTGCTCCTGCTTCAGTTTTAGTCCTCGAAATACCTTAAGGGTGGCGCTCGGCTCGTGCGCCTCGTCCTCCAGCGAAATGTCGGCTGCCAGTAGTCGGATGTAGCCATCGCACTGGACGTCGCTGAGCGCCATGCAACTTGACAAAGTTGTCAGACGCGGACTTTCATCCTCCGTTTCCACATGGAGCCAATTTGGAGCGCCACCAGCCATAACTTTGATCAGTTGCAGAAAATACTTTACGTGGCAGTGTGAAAATGAACAGATGATTTAATAATTGCTCCAAGGAGTTTTGTTTTGGTTTTCTGCGCCTTAGCAACGGCGCCAGTACATTTGAAATTTCTATCGAATTATCGATATCTCTGAGAAGTCGAAGCCAGAGTTGCCAATTCCGAAAAGCATGTTATACAACTGAGCATATGTTTGTCATCCCTTTTTAGTGCTAAATGGTATTTTTGTCAATTTCATCAATCTATTAATTTAATTTTCAATGTTATATAGAAATCCAATAAATGCAAGTATTTCGAATAGACCAATCATGTATAGAATTGATTCATCAATCGTATAAAACTGAGTGGGCATGGCTAAATGTTCCATATAGATAGTATTATTCAACGGAACAAAGAATTGGTCGTTTTTTGAAAAAAAAAATTTGGGAAATATTCGGTATTTTCCGGTGGTATTTTAAAACATGAAAAATTCGTGGAAAAAAGAAGAAGAAGACGAATTCACAGCAAAATCACAGCAAAATCATAGCAAAATCATAGCAAAATCATAGCAAAAGGAAGAAGAAGAACAGACCGCGGACTGGGGGTGGGGGTGAACAGCTGTTCGGCTAAAACGGCAACTGGCGTCTGGTGCGATGGAAAGACGTGGGGAATGGGGCATGTTCTCGCGTCGGTCCGATGCGGAGGCTCATCTCATCGAGATCACCCGCGTGGATGGCAGCCGTCGTGCTTTGTGGAAGGGGGGTGGAGAAGCCGCGTTCCCTCGTCCTCGAGACGCGTCGCGGGTGCATTACTTGAACAGAGTCGCCCCGGACTCCATAAGCCGCGCCACGATGGACGAATCCGAGCTGCAACCATAACCGGGAGCTCACATTCAAAAAAGTTCGATTTGGCGCGCACCTCTCGGTATATTTTTCAAGTGAGACCGTATATACTGTAGAAACTGGTTTTCGCCGCGCTCCCATGTGGTGTTTTTTAGTGCTAAATGGTATTTTTGTCATCTATTAATTTAATTTTCAATTTTATATAAAAATCCAATAAATGCAAGTATTTCGAATAGGCCAATCATGTATAGAATTGATTCATCAATCGTATAAAATTGAGTGGGCATGGCTAAATGTTCCATATAGATAGTATTATTCAACGGAACAAAGAATATGAGGAATTGGTCGTTTTTTTTTAATTCGCCGCAGTTCGCCGCAGTTCGCCGCAATTTCGCTTTAGCAACAATGAGTCTCGTTCCATACACAATGTTGCGCATTCCATGCACACATACCCTGGGGGAAATGGATGCTATAGAATTGTGAATACGTTTGTCATCCAAGGCTCAGTAGGTATCAGGATCGAGATAAATATATAAAAGATACTAATAATACACATGAACAAGTCAAAAACATGTCAATTTGAGAAAAGGTCTTAATAAATTGCGTTTGATCTACATGGAAAATTAACAAAATAGGGTGCACAAAGGCCTATACACGCATCATGTCTTTAAATACCAGCAACATTGCGGCTGATTTTTTGTTGAACTATTTTGTTTAAACCTTGTTTTAGTCAAAATACAATAAAAGCAAGGACTAAAAACTAACCAATTGTGTAGAAAATTGATTCATTAATCGTATAAAATTATGTGGGCATAGATAAAGGCCCGGTTGACAACATTTAAATCCTTGTCGCTCACATTCAAAAAATTTCGATTTGGCGCGCACCACTCGGTATTTTTTTCAAATGAGACCGTATATACTGTAGAAACTGGTTTTCGCCCCGCTCCCATGAGGTGTTTTTTAGTGCTAAATGGTATTTTTGTCATCTATTAATTTAATTTTCAATGTTATATAGAAATCCAATTAATGCAAGTATTTCGAATAGGCCAATCATGTATAGAATTGATTCATCAATCGTATAAAATTGCGTGGGCATAGCTAAATGTTCTATATAAATAGTATTATTCAACGGAACAAAGAATATGAGAAAATTTGAATTCGCCGCAGTTCGCCGCAGTTCGCCGCAGTTCGCCGCAGTTCGCCGCAATTTCGCTTTAGCAACAATGAGTCTCGTTCCATACACAATGTTGCGCATTCCATAGACACTGTTGCAGCAACATTTACTTGAAAACCGTTTTTTGGTCAAAATAAAATACATTAAGGTAATTAAAAGAAGCAATCTTGTAGAAAATGCATTTATCTATGGGATAAAGCTAAGTGGGCATCTATAGCTTGAAATATAGGCAATACCCGATTCGCCGCAGTTTAGCTTTTGCAACAATGAGTCTCATTCCATACACAAATGTTGCTAATTCCATGCACAAATGTTGCTAATTCCATGCACACATACCCTGGGGGAAATAAATGTTATAGAATTGTGAATATGTTTGTCATCGCAAAAACAATTTATTTCTAAAATATTTTAATATTATTCAATATTATTTATTATACTATTTTTAATATTTCAACGATATTTTGAAGCTTATTGTCTTCTTGTAGGGACCAAGAATAGGTATCAGGATCGAGATATATATACAAAACACTAATCATATACATGAATATGTCTAAAAAATGTCAATTTGAGAAAAGGTCTTTATTAGTTACGTTTTATCTTCATATCAATATATATACTTTCATTTACAATTAACAAAATAGGGTATACAAAGACCTATACTACGGCTTTCACGCAATATAGCGACTCTTTTTTTGTTGAACTTTTTCGTTTGAACCTTGTTTTAGTCAAAATACAACAAAAGCAAGTACTAAAAACTAACCAATTGTGTAGAAAATTTATTCATCTTTGTTCTAAAATTATGTGGGCACTGCTAAATGTTCTATTTAGCTGGTAATATTCGACGGAATATCAAAAACGAGGAATATGCATAACAGAACTTGACTTTGTCAGTATTTTTACGGTATATTTTCCAAATGAGACGGTATGTTTCGGTATATTTCTGAGGGTCGGACGGTATTCTTTATCGATAAGTCCGCGGTCACACTGAAGAAGTCGTCGCAGCATTTTTTAATAATAATAAGTGATTTGTTTAGGTTTATTTTGAAGTAATGACGGCTAAAGAGGACGAGGTACAGGTTTTCAACAAGGGCGAAAAGGTCCTGTGCTACGAGCCGGATAAATCGAAGGCGAGGGTTCTATACAACAGCAAGGTAAAAACACACAACAAACATGCCCACGCGCATACACACACAGACACACACCACCACAGCAAACGTCAAATAAACGTCAGGCAGCGACGCATTCGCGCACTTCGATTTTTCACTGAATATAGCACCGAATTTTTCGCAGGTTTTGACTGTTGTGGAGCGCAGAGATGAACATGGCCTGAGGTACTACGACTACAAGATCCACTTCCAGGGCTGGCGGCCGTCCTATGATCGAGCTGTGCGTGCTAGTTGTCTGCTGAAAGACACGGAGGAGAATCGTAATCTTCAGCGCGAACTGGCAGAGGCCGCACAATTACAGATGTAAGTCCCGTCCCCCCAACCGGTGGGCTGTGTATTTGTGTGCGAAGTGTTATTACCGGCTTTTTCACTTACAGAAGTGGAGGATACTCGTACAAGGGCACGCCCTCTCAGCCTCCCAGCAAGAAGAAGCGCTTGACTCGCGTGGGAGGCAACGTCGAGGATCAGGAACCAGCCTTGGACACCACTCAGGGACAGAAGGAACCAGAGGTGCCGCCTACAAACGGCACTCAACCCGCTGCCGGGAACCGCTCGCGGGAAAACAGTGGAGGCCGCAAAGCAGAAAAGAGTATCGGTGCCGAGGAGCTGAAAATGAGGAACACGCGTGGTCATTCTACAGGGAAAAAGCCAGCCAAGAAAGAAACGGTAGAAGTGGAGAAATATGTTGTCCAAGAGGATCGTGTAATGTTGCGCATCAGCGAGCGTCTGAGAGAGTACATGGAGTACGACTACAACATGATTGTAAAGTTGGGAAAGCAGCATGCAATGCCTGCCCGTATGCCCATCATCTGCATCTTGGAGAACTTTGTGAAGCAGCGGGCCGTGGAGCTGGCTATTGGAATCAAGCAAGACAGCAAGAGGAATACTCAGAGTCGGAATGCCCGCATGGAGCGGGAGTATGATCGGGTCATGTCCAAGTGAGTAGCGGCAGAGGTTCCATAAAAGAAATGGTTAAATAATTGTGCAACATTTGCAGCGTCTGCATGCTGAAAGAAGTCGTCGATGGACTGCGCATTTACTTCGAGTTCCATGTGGAGGATCATCTGCTCTACAAGGAGGAGAAGGAATACGCTTATAACTATCTCACGGACGACAACTTAAAGAACGTCAGCGTGAAGCTAAACAGCTCCTATGACTTCATCAACCCAAACTGCGACACAGAGCTCATCTCAATGGAAGGAACCCAAGGGGGGGCTAGTGCACCTGGCCCAATAAACAACTACGGAAGCCAAATTATCAACGGATTAGAGTACGAAAAACAGTTTCAAAGGTGTCTTCTCTACATCGCAAAGTCGAGTGGCAAGAATACGGCCAACTCCTATGATCCGCGGACATGTCCGTACACGGCTGCCGACAAGCTGCCCATGGAGATGCGTGGTTTTCTGCGCGAAACCTTCAAGTGGCGTCTGCTCTCAGCGGAATCTATGCCGGAGAAGTCGATGGTGTTTGGCGCTCCCCATCTAGCACGACTGATGAGTAAGTTTTGATTGTAAACTGAAACTGAATGCTGTGTCTGGAGACCTCATACCTTTATTTGTATCTGTATCTGTAGTTAAAGTGCCCGAGTACTTGAATATCTCGCCCATATCAAATCAAAAGCTAGAGGATCTGCTACCACATCTGGACTCATTCATCAAGTAATTCCCAGATCCCTGCCATGTTTTTGAACCCAAACTAAAATGCGTGTGTTGTTTTCAGTTACTTGGAGAACCACAAGGAGTGGTTCGATAAGGAGAACTACGTGCATCATCCCACCGTACACCAGGAGCAGCTGCAACGAGAGCTGCTCGTGTCACTGGAA